CGCGGGTGGCAGCCAGGTAAAACTTTCTTGCCTTATGACTATGTTGACTTGAAGTCACCCCATCTGCATCGGTATCGTCGCTGTATCCAGTCGGATCTGACGGGGGTCCATTCTTTTTTATCCCTCTCTCACTTACCTTATGTCATCTCCTTCTCGCTCTAAGCGGCTGGAGGGCCTGGTTACGAATACGCTACTCCAAGATGGACGGTGGAACTGATGAGCAGCGACTTAAAAGGACTAAAAAAAATGTTCCATCGTCAAATAAGATAATAGGTAATGGGCACCATTAAAAATGGATGAGTATGAGGGCCAGGACTACCATAATTTTCCGAGTAGCAGAGCATGAGAGCGAAACTTCTTTAAAAAATGCTTGGAATTGAATTCCTCACTCCATGTTACTGATTTTAAATTTTTCCTCCAGATGCAAAACAAAAAACAGAGGAAGAGGAAACAGTCGAGCATGACGATGATGCAGATAAGCACTGTTCCAGAAAAGATGGTGGCTGGGGGAATAATGATTTCCAACGCAAGCAAGACGAAGGGGACAGCGACATAGAAGCAGAGGGGAAGGAGCTGGAATTGCTGGTTGATGAGGACGGACGCCTCGTTTTCGACGGAGGCCATGTCGACTACTCTTTCCGCTCCTTCCCTGCGGCCTTTCCTTCCTTCTGTACTGATGCTACGTCTTCCTCCGTCCTGTCCACCTTGCTGCACGATTGTCGAGTAGCCAGCACGGCAAGGGCGCAGGCCAAGGCTGGGGGAGACTACAGCGAAGGCGAGACCTTTTTCATCACCGCCGACACCAAGCCCAAGGTGCAACTGGAAGCGCTGGCCCTGTCGATATTCTGGGCGCACACCTCTCAAGCCACCTACACCGAAGGACATAGCGGGGCAGAATGGTGGGTGCAGGTGCTGGAGGAGGAGGACGACATTGGCCTGCATTTCGACAAGGACTATGCCCTGGAAGCACACGGTCTCAACATCTACCCTCACCTGGCCACGGTCACCTACCTCTCTTCCTTGGGAGGTCCCACTCTGGTCCTTCCCCTCTCGGGCCCCCTGCACGTGGGGGAAGACCTGTCCGGCGCGCTCTCCGGAGCCTGGCTCTCCCTGCCCGCCGTGGGCAAACACACCGTCTTCGATGGACGCCTGCTACACGCGGCGCCCGCGGAATTGCGGGGACTGTGGGCCGACGAAGACGGTTGGGAGGAAGGTGGGAGGGCGGAAAGGAAAGGGGGACGGAAGCGGGTGACCCTCCTGGTGAACGTCTGGCTGAATCACATTCCCAACGGCTCGGAACGGCCGTCGCCCTCCCTCCTCCAGGCCCTCTCTCCCTGCGACTCTGCCGCCCCATTGGAATGTAGAATCCCCTTGGCCCCTCCCTTTCAGCGAGGGGATGCCGAGGAAGGGACTATCTCGTCCTCCCTTGCGTCCCCCGGCGCCTCTCAGGTGACGGAGGTGACGCTAAGAGGAGGGGCGGTAGGGGAAGGAGCGGCCCAACGGGCATCGTGGAGGTTGGGAGGTGAAGCCAAGCAGAGGTATAAGGTTTCAATCCTTGTGCCCGCTGAGGAGGGGAGGAAGTTCTCGAGGGAGGACGAAGGCTCCACTGTGAGGCTGATGTTTAAGGAGGGGGTGACGGGGATGGTGGTACGGGAGGTGGGAAGGAAGGGAAAGAGGAAGCGGGTGGTGAATGAGGGGGAGGAGGAGGAGGAGGAGGAGGAGGAGGATGATGATGATAATGATGATGATGATGAGGATGAGGATGAGGAGGAGGATGGTGATGACGGGGAGGAGGATGATGGAGAAGAGGAAGAAGAGGAGGAGGAGGATGGTATTGAGGGGGAGGAAGATGATGGAGAAGAGGAAGAAGAGGAGGAGGAGGAGGAGGGGGACAAGAAGAAGGAGGAGGAGGAGGAGGAGGAAGTGGAGGAGGAGGAGGAGGAGGAGGATTAAAAGGAATAAAAAAAGATGGAGATGGTCATTATGATTCCGGAAGAGAAAGGCAGGTTAAAGGCCTTATGTTCCCCTTTTTTCCGCTCTTGCTTTCGAGAGAAGGTAATGTCTAGGAAGAGGCGGTCGAAAAGGGACCAAGGGGAGCGACAAGAAGGACAGAGCCGAAGACGGTTTTTGAGACGAGCTTAGAAATGGATCATGACGACGAGGACGGTCATCCGAGTACAGTAAGATGTAAAACAAAGAACGAGGTGCCAGAGCTGGAGCTTGCCTACGGTTTTACTTTCCTCCTTCATCCTTCGGGCCACAAAGGACCTCAGTCCACTCCGCTCCTTTCACACTCCCCTTCCCTCGGCCGTTCCTGCTCCCCCACCTGTACATCCATCCCCCCTTCCCTCCCTCCCTCC